GAAGTATAGATATCTTCTAGATCGCCGCCAAAGGCTTTTGAAGAAGGTCAAATTGTGGCTTCAAAAGGAATTCACAATCTCACACGGCATCATATTTGGTTCACAATTGCTTAGAGAAAAAATCTTCGAATTAGCGTTAGACTATAGTATAGCTGAAACTCTTCGAACGTTTACATTATATATTATATAGCAAAGAGAAATTTTTAGAAATACGCGACTAGTTAAAAGACAATAAGCCTGTCCGACCAGTTTGTGCAATTGGTTCTAAAAATCTGAACAAATATTTCAAGATTTGTTTAGATTATATATATATGTAGGTAAAGGAAAAAAATTTCGCCAGTAGCGCTGAAAACAGATACGAAAATGAAGAGCTCAATGAGTTTTGGGGCTCCAACGATTAGATGATGAATCTTACGACCTCAATAGGGGGTTGCTTTTTAATAGTTTGGCCCTTAAATTCATTTAGCTTAGTCGGGCAATTTATACAAAAATTAAAGACGTAAGACCCAGTAATTAATTCCAAAGTTTATGCTTCCCTACTTTAGAACCCTTTCTTGCAAACCCAATTCAACTAAGTTATAAATTACCACATTTTACAGGAAATGTTGAAAAGCATTTTGCTGCTTGACAACTCCAAACTCCAAGCAAGTCCCCTTAATGAAATATTGGGTTAATTTTTTAGAATATATACATTAAGCAATCGGCAACGGGTTGCTTCAAAATATGAACTGTTTTGAAGTTATTGGAAATGAAATATTGGGTTAATTTTTTTAGAATTTTTGCATAACAATATGAAAAATCCATTATGAATACAAAAGCGACCAAATAGCTGACAGACTGATTAACCATTTACTGCGCACACACGCCAAAATCATTTGCCCCTTCTTCTGCCCACTGTTTTATACACTTTTATAGGTACACCGCCTTTTTCTCCCTTTCTCTCTCACTTGCTTTTGCTTTGCCACACCTTCTCACTCACATTAAGTGGCTGCATCTCGGATATTTTTTGTGCTCAAGATGCTTCAATGGCCGTGAAATTGCCTATTAAAAATGGGCGGAATTTTATGCATATCGTTGCAAGAGAGAGTGAGGCACACATATCTGAGAGCGTACGTACATACATGCATACGCATTCGTAAATACTTGCAAATATATTTTTTATGTTGGTAGAGGCCTGCAGCTGATCCCATTGTTACCATGAGTATGAGTGTAGTTACATATGTGCAACTGGTGTGAATGTGTAATATACTGAAGCTAGTACGACCTTAATTACCGTACACACCCCTAAACGAGGGCAGGAAAAATTATGTATGCAATTTTGTGTTGTAATTCTAAAAACTTAGCTGAATACGACAGTCATATCGGAACTTGAAAACTCTACTGCAAAAATTTAAACTTATCTATGACTTCACCCACTTAAGAATAATAGTACATAATTTGAAAATAATAATAAATTTCAAAAGTTCAATTTGTACTAACAAACAGAAAATGTATTAAAAAATTATCGTTGTTTTTCGGTCGGATATGGATTTTTACACATTGTTCGATAGAAAACCCAATTACATCGATTCTTATCCCGCTAGAGCTCATTATACTTCTCTATCACTACACTCCTAAAAACAAAATTTCTTGACTCAAAGTTTAATTACAGATCTCTTTTGCAATTGGAACAATAATTCAAACAGCTGACTGAAGATTCATTTCCTATCCCAGCATGCGCCGAACCCGGACTTTATAGAGAAAAAATATTCTTTCTCTAACTATTTAATATGATCTACACATGTAGAACTAATCAAAATTGATATGATATGAAGTTCTTCAATAATCGAAAGTTTATAATTCATTAGAAATATATATTTCAAAGAGAAGGAGTAAGCGGGCATGAAGTGAATCTGGCACCGAAGTGTTCAGAATTGTTCACAAATCGTTCTATTCGCAACACCATCACCCATCTTGAAACCCAGCACGCAATATTGCATAACATTACACCGAATACAATACGTCCAACAAGCAGTGAAGAAAATATAGCAGAGAGTGTGCACGAAGACAGTGGAGAGTCGATTCTGCAACTCGGACTTGACGCATTTTAAGTCGAGATCATAAATTGAAAGCGTAAAAAATACAACTTATGCAAGAACTAAAGCTGCTCGGTCTTCTCAGACGACATCGCTTTGCTTTATGGACTCTTAAAAAGTTCCAAGAAAATCCGACGTCTAAGAAACAATTTTTGTTCAGTGATGAGGACCATTTCTGGCTCAATGGACTTCACACACTTAAGAATAAGGTTCACTCACTTATGGATGAGGTAATATAATGACAAAATTTCAAAAGTTCAATGGATATGTAAACAAGTAAAATTGGCGCATTTGGAACGCGGAGCAACCGACTTTTTGGTGGTTTGTGGTGGAATCATCGGTCCCTATTTCAACAAAAATGACGTCGGTGAGAATGTAATGGTCAATGGCGACCGTTATCGCGCCTTGATAACTGACTATTTGATGCCTGAATACGGGGCCATATCCCACACATCGCAACAATCCATGAATTTATTAAGAAAATGATGGGCAGCTAATTTCACGTTTTGTTCCTGTCGATTGGTCACCACGAAAACTGGAATCAATGGAAGGACCATCAGAGACATTGCCGCGGCCGAGATTTGAAAGAGTTAATCTTCAAAAAATAAATGCCAAGGAATGTTCTTTTGATTGATAATAAAAAAGTTCCCATTTCTTTCTGTTTTTTCTGTTTCTGTGTTTTTTCTTTAAATAAGTAGGGAACCTCGAAATGGCTTACACTTTATTTAGTTTGCTTTACTACTCACTATGAGTCGCACTGAAATCATTAAAATTTCAATAAATTCAATATTTTGTTATGGCATTTACTTTCAACACACAAAATTTTGAACTTTAAAAATCGCCGATTAGGCCACACACTTTTATTTAGCCAACCGCGCACACCGTTGCAGGAACGTAATATCACAACAAATGCAAATATCAAACTGAATTGGGGTGTGTAAGCGAGCACTCAGCAAAGGGACAGTCGAAAAATACGAATTACTGCATGCAGTCAAAATGATCTTGGCAAAAAAAAAAATATTTATATAATATGCTTGAATGTACAATGCATTTTTGCAATGGCCACAGGATGTCGAAAGGAGGTGTGAAAGATCAGCTATGAAAAATCCAAACAAGCGAAGCTTCAAAATCTGAGCAAACGACTGGTGACAAAGAAGAAGAACCGACAAAAAAATTCATGCAGCTTGGAAAAGAAGTGTAGAAAGAACTTGGGATCAGACAACAAAAAATAATATAAAGAGAAATAAAATAATAGTTGAAATGAATGCCAATAACAATAGGATGTGCCACCGAAAAGGAATCCTACTCACACCTGTAAGCAAACATATCACCAGAAAAAAATGCGAAAATATATGGCTTTTGTACAGGTAGAATGTTGCTCTCCTGCACTCAAACAAGCTTTCATTGTTCTGAAAGCAAATTAGTCTCAGTTGTATTTTTTATCAACAAAAGTGTCAAATTACCATTCGTCATTATGAAGAAACTCTATTTATTTTGTTTTATGAAAGAATTTTTCTACGTTTGCATATGAGAAGTTTGTAGAGAGTTCAATTTTAGTCATCCCGTACAAAGGTCGGGATATTTTGGAATCAAAGATTTCTAAACAGCGGTTAGCCATTATCAAGCTCAGCCAAATCTAGAATTGGTCTTCAAACTTTGAGAAAAACTAGTAATTGAAGCAAGTACCGTGGATTAATGCCTGTTTGGCGCCAATATTAGTAGAAGAGAACACTCACGAAAAACTAAACTTCTACAAAAAATTTATCGAAGTGCTTCAGACAACACTTTGGCTTCTGGTAGACAAGAAACTAACCTGAAAGCTAAACAAGTAATTCAAGCGCTCTTGCTACATATGAATTTTTAATGCTATTATGAGGTTAATCGCGCACAGGGGGTCGTAAGAAAAAGCACCGAGATCGTGGATTGTTGTAGAGATGTACTAAAGAAGAAAATTCTGTGAAATATGTTTGCAGAGCACTGGAACCGCCTCAGAACTCGGGGTCCGGTGGGACATGTACGCGATCTCCTCCACTCTTGTTTTTTGATGCTGAAGTAACCGATCTCCCGCACTCTCGTTTACTGATCAGTCTATATTATTACATATTGAGTTTTATGATGCTGAAGTAACCGATAATAGCTTCGAAACAAAAAAATTGTTCAGGAATTATGAAGAAGCCTCCCATCGAGAACGAAATATCTCCATATTCCCACACTTTCGCGATCTCGGCTTGTAACGGTTTTCAGCTCAAAGATCCTAGAGCCTTTATTAAACAGACTTCCTTTTCGTTAAGATTTTGAAGAATAAAAGCTTTAAATGGGAAGGCACAAGAGAAACCTCCACTAAAATCTACAGACGGACAACTGTTACTTGGGGCCTTTATTGTAAAAGCAAGATTTATAGTCCTTTGCGCATTGGCAACGGAGAAAACCGCAATCAATGGAAGGATGATCTTTAAGAGACATACGATGATATTAACATAGTTCAGCGAATTAAGAGACAGCGGCTACTAAAACACTGAGAGTATTCAACGTAGTACTCGACGGTGAAAGCAGAGGAAGAGAAAGACCTCCACTCCGTTGGAAAGCCCAAGTTTAAAAGACCTGGTTACACTTGGAATCTGCAATTGACGCCAAACAACGAAACGGAAGAACAACTGATGCGCTGTTGTAAACTCGGCTATAACCACGTAGGCAGTGTCTACGCCAATAAAGTAGAAGACAAATAAACAATTGCCCAGACCCTACTCGAACACTTCAATACTTATCAAAGCACCACCCTATGTATACATTTAGAAACCCAATACTTAAAGGATCTTCGAAGAATACATCTTCGACAGTTACATAAATATACATATTTTATAAACGATGTCAACATGTTTTACCCATAAAATATAAAAAGATAGTATATGTGTATTTGCGACTCACCTGTATCCGATCCTCAGGTAACTCGGTTTTTAGCGATAACATTTCTCGTGCATACACATCGGGATAGTGTGCTTCTTTGAAGGCCTCTTCGAGTTTTTCCAATTGATAAGAAGTGAAAATCGTACGACTATGTCGACGTTTCTTCTTTTTTTTCTTGCCACCAAAACCATTTATACCATCAAGCGTGAAATCCTTGCTCGACAGGGGACCTTAAAGAGAGAGTTTATAAAAAATTAATAGACAAAAATAATGTAAGATGATGAGAAGTGAATTCTATACAGTTATATATAGTTTAGTATCCAGCAAAAGCTAGTATAAGGACCTTCTGTGTATATTCAATATTAGCAAGCTTTAAGTTTTCGGAAATTTTTCGATACCATACAATCTGGCACTCATTTAAACTTAGTTAAATGTGACCAAAGTACCTCGGTAGGCCGAAGTAGCTGAGAAGCTCTTAACTGAACTACTCATAGTCCTTATACCGCAGAATAGACGATTTACTAATAGCGCTCTGGAGGTGGGTTTAGAAGCTTTCTTTTACTTCCGAAGGTGGATGTTATGCGAAATACTCAGTAAAGTACTAAGTTTAAGCTTTGTAAAGAATTGTTTTCATATTTTACTGCTCAAGAAAAATTATAAATGAAGTTTAGAGTAAACCAGGATAATTCCGCTTTTGACAGATTCTGATTGAATGGGGCATAAAATTTAAAACAGTTGCATAAAAATTATATATTACTTAATTGCATCTACTCATCGAAGTCATTTACAAATTACAGCTACCAAGCGAAAATTTTGTGAAAAAAGCGCGTAGCGATTTTTCGAATGACGCGGTGAATCTTAGTCTGAGCACTTTTTTCAAATACTATAATCTCTATATTTAGCAAAAATATATCCACTTAAGATCCCTTAAACCCTATACAAATTTTAAATGTACAATCAATTTTAAGTAGCCGCTTAAAACGTCGCTCAGAACTGTCAAAAACTCGTCATTTTCAATCGACATTTTTCACATGAAACCAAATGCTAGGCGACATTTGAAGATTTCCAGATAATAACGCAGAGTTTCGAAAACACTCATGCTTAATATATAGTATATATATAGTACACGAAGTTATCGCATACTCCGTCGACGCATTCCGCGCAGACAAATGGGGTAACCGCCGCCACGCTGTCAATGTGGCTGTCAAATTGCGTGCGTTGACAATAATACCCTCTTTACAAGCTGCATATAATCACAGATGTCATACAAAATGCATGCAAAAATATATACCGTTATAAGCTGCCATAAATATTTCGCAACAACACTTGGCCTACATGCAACGCTGAGACTTTCGCCTTGACAGCTTAGAAAAATCATTGCTTATAGACAAAAGTCAGCAGTAATTCGACAACAAACGCTATTTAGTCGATTGAAATAGACGACTGAAGCACCATTTAATATTGCACCAATACCCGGAAAACGCAAATCACAACATTGTTTTGACTTACGTGTACGCATCTTCTTCTGCGTGATTTTAGATTTTTGTTTTATTTGTAATTTGATCTGCAATGAGCGCCAAAAAAAAAAAACGAAAATATTTCTACGTACTCGTAAAATGTGCCAATGTGTGGGGTTAACTAAAATGAGTTTTATAGCGTTCGAGACACCATGCTGCATGTGTTGCAACTGTTGCAAGTACATTCTATTGCATATCGAATTACGTTCCCATGCTTGGAGTGTACTTATCTTGCACGAACTGCAACCACTTAGTGTTCGCCTTGCTTCAACTTGTTGTTGTTGCAATATGATCGACCCATTTATGTTAACTTCGTTGACTTCCTTGACTTTAACGTTAATTTTTGTGTTATTTTTTAAATTGTTGTTTTAAATCCTTTGGAATTCGTGGAATTAGTGAAAACAATTATTTATAGGTTAGGAGAAATATATGTAAATACTATAACTTGTTGCAGTCCTTAATGCATTTTATAGGTTTTCATAGGCTAGATAACGTTCTACGGCTGATCCTCAAAGTGAGGATCACACCAGAAGTGCTATATATGTACATATCTTTAAGGGCCACACAACCCTGACATTACATTTCAGGCATCCCTGAGCCCACCACATAACTTTATTTAGTGCTTAGGGCATTCTTTAGGTTTTTATAGGCTAGATAACGTTCTACGGCTGATCCTCGAAGGTGAGAATCACACCAGAAATGCTATATATGTACATATCTTTAAGGGCCACACAACCTTACTATTACATTACATGCATCTCTGAATCCACCAAGAATTTCCTTAGTCAGCCCACTAGCTCAACTGCATGTTTAAAGATGTAAGATCCGAGGTGGTTTAGTCTTCATCTCTCAAAAGCGGAACAAACATGAATGAAATGTTAATAAATATAATGATATGAAGATAAGAAGACGAGTAATTCCATATAATTTTCTTTCCAGCAACTTCTTACAACATATTACAGCAACAAATTAGATTTTTAACAATACCGCATAGAGACTACTTGGACAACGACCGGTTAAAGTCCCTATAACGAGGAAAAGATTCATCCAGCGAAGGGACTAGTAGAAGCGATTTACTTTGGAACTGCGCAAGTACTTGGATTGGCCAGTGTCTATCCTCACAAGGTCATCGATACTTTAAAATTCGCTAAGATTCTCTGAATATGAAAATTACAAGCGAAGCTTCTTTCTCAATGAGTCGGTCGTACTACATTTAAATACAGTAAAGGTGGAATCTATAAAAATAGATTTTCCTAAGACATCACGGTTTAACGGTGCTTTTTATGTTGAGTTCAAGCTAAGTCGAGGTAAATAGCCGTATATCAATTTTTTTTATTTAATACTCCGACCGCCATCGCATTTGCGAAGTTTGCGGCAGAGCGATAACTTCGCTCTTTGATCAATTTGTCAACTCTCTTAAATTCCGTTTGCACGGCAGTCGGTTCGGCATAATCGGAATGAACTCGGATTTTTACCAGAAAAAGAAGAAGATAACTGTCAACACAGGGTGGATTTGCTCAAAATGATTTGAGGAATATTTGCTGAACTAAAACAATGGATGTTTACAAGGGAAGCGCGGTTTGATAGCCAAATGTTTGGTTATTTCATTATTTATGTCAAAGCTTTGCAATATAAATTCGACACACCAGGTAGCGTGTAATTGACAGCCAGTGATTAGACATTGGACCCTACTAAATACCTGCATTTTTTCACACTATCGGTATGGATCGTGGTGGTATCTTCTTTGCTTACAAACTTTCGCGAAGAAGAGATCTCAGCCAGAAGCGTTCATTGGAGCTGTTGTCTCTGTTGATGATTTCTTTGCCCTTATTAAGGCTAGCCGCTACCTAGTTTTGGAGCTTTTTACGGGCACTGCCCAATTGGGGTCCACGAAGTAAGGCTGGGAATCTTACCAAACGCCATCTGCAGAAGCTATATGAAAGAAGATGAGGTGGAAACAACTCAATACTTCCTTCTGGACAGACCTACGTTTGGGAGATATTTCAGACATCCCACAGAGCTGGGAACCTACCTAACTTATGTTGGTTTTGGTTTAACTGATTTAAACACGTCGTGATACTCAAAAAGTAAAAGTAGTAGAAAACATACATGCATTGTACAACGAGGCTTTCCTAGTCTTTAGAACGTCTTATTAAAAGCATTTAAGCAGCCGTCCTCTAACCAATTGCTGACTTTGTAGTGATCAAAGAGTTGCTTATCTTTTCATTGCGAACCTGCGTTGGTCGAATTACCACAAAGGTTTTGTTTATATTTAGATAAAGTAGAATTCACACTCTTCGCACCTTATTTCTTGATTTTTTGTCATTCAAACAGTATACTTACTATACATCCACGTTGATAACACATATTTTTCGAACTCTTTGAAATATTTCACACACATTTTCACAAAAATGAAGCGCACAAAGCCTTATTATTTCAATATTTATGTCCTCTAATTAAAATGCATAAACAAACACAGAGTTGCAGCGCACAAACACATACAAAATACAACACTGCAATGCACGGTTGCATGTGAAAAAGTGTAAAAACCGAATAAGGCAGATGAAAAATATATTTATTTATGTGCTTGTAAAGGCAATATGCGGCGGTTTGTGTGAAATAATATGAATATTCCTCTAATTAACAATTTTAAATAAAACAAGTTAATTTACATTAACAACACACACACATATGTATATATACGCCTCAGAGCACATTTTAATATTACTTTTTATTGTTGGATCAGGAGGCGCATGCTAGCAGGATACTATGTATATAAATCTGTATGCGTATACATATGTATGTACATATGTATGTATGCATAAGTAACAGTGTATATATATATGTATATGTATGTGTGTGCCGCTGTGAAAAATTATAACACTCACAAAGTAGCGGAAAGCCACAAGCCGGCTAACGAGCTGCACTACAGCAACACCAACATAAATATGCATAAATGCGTGTGTGTGAGTTTGCACGCGCACATGCGCACATACACGCCCACAACTGCACATATTAGCAATTAAAATTTTCCTAGTTAATTACTTTAAGCCGCTCAGGCAAGCGTAAATGTATGAGTACATAAATGGATGTGTTGGAAATTTGCGCAGACCGAGCGGCACTAAAATGCGCAAACGAGCACACACACACAACACAAGTAACTTTATATTTGCGTATGTGTGCATTAACAGCCACTTGGCGCGTCAGCCAGCTAAAAGGCAAGTAAATATAACACATTGCTTTTGCTGTTGGCGTTGTTGGCTAGCTAAAATATGCGCTTAGCTGTGTGGGTGCGAGCAAATTAATACATACATATATGAGCATATATCTACATATACTATATATTTATTTTTTCTTTATAGATATGCATATGTGTTTATTGACAACGTCAAAACTGTCAAAATGGCAATGCAGCTTAACGTTGCCACTCAGTGGCAAGAAAGTACATAGATGTAGAGGCACACAAACACATAAACAAACGCATAGAAGCACACATATATACAGTATTATATATGCATACACATCTTCATATATAACATTACCACTGCTTGCATCCATTGACGACTAAAGGTCATAAATGCCTTGTAGTGCAAAAGCATATTGGAGCCACGCACCCACACATATGTATATAAATGAAAAAAAAAGTAAACTTCAGTTGCACCGCAGCTACAATTCCCTACATAGGTGTATTTATAATAGTATGAAAGCGTATAAATGTATCTTCATTTTGATTTTTAACGTTGAGTTTGTATGACAGCTATATGCTATAGTTGTCCGATCTGCACAATTTCTTGAGAAATTTTAAGTTTGTCTCAGCGAAATATCCCAGCCAAATTTCGTAAAGATATTTCATCAAATAAAAAAGTTTTTCCTACAAGAACATGTATTTGAGCGTTCGGTTTCTACTGCAGCTACATGCAATAGTGGGCCGATCTGAAAAATTTCTTCAGATATTTTAGCGTTGCCTTGCACACTAATCTATACCAAATTTCGTGAAGATATCTCATTAAATAAAAAAGTTTTCCATACGAGGTCTTATATTTGATAGTTCCGTTTGTATTGCAGCTATATGCTATAGTTGTCCGATCAGAACAATTTCTTCAAAAATTTTAACATTGCCTCAGAAAATAATACTTTCCAAATTTCGTGAAGATAACTCGTCAAATAAAAAAGTTTCCCATACAAGAACTTGATTCCGATCGTTCAGTTTGTATGCCAGCTATATGTAATAGTTGTCCGATATCGGCGTTTCCGCCAAATCAAAACTGTTTGGGCGGAACCCGGGACCCGTGCCAAAATTCACCTTGGTATATATATAATTTATAGGTTTTCGACATTCTTTTCTGTTTGGCAAACTTAATATACCCTATTTAAGGTATAAAAAGAATGAAATATTTGTATAAAAAGCGCACAACACCCGCAAGTCTTCACGCTTTTTTATTATATCCCGCACACCCGCTTTCATGCTGACACATTTCTTTGGCGCTTTTAATTCAACTTTTGTGCGCTTTTTTCCTTGCACTTTTCGCCACGCAACTAATATACACACCACACCGTTGCACCGTTGTTGGCGTTCTTTTCTTGTTGGCAATTTAATTAGGAAATCTAATTTGCTCAAAAGTGCATGAAAAATGTACCGAGTATGTACGCCATTTTGACACATGCCATGCTGCGTGCTCGCAAAGCTGTGCAAAAAGCTTGAAAGCATTGTACGGCTTTCGTTGCAATTCGGTAGCTAGCGCAAAATTGCCTCGTAAAAATATTTTTAGTGCATTTAGTATTTTGAAATTGATGTTAGGGTTGTGCTCAAATATATATGACTGTGTATGGCGATATATATGACTGGTATGGGTGGGTTTCGACACACGTACGAAACATATGAACGTTAAAATTTTTTGTTACAAAACTGTTAGAAATTCTTAAATATTAAATGCGAAGAAAGAGCATATTTTATAATAATAGACATAGGAAGCCTAAGATATGTATATTTATCAACGGAACAATCACTCTTCAATTCAAAGTCACAATTCATTAGTAATAACCGCGTCTTGATCGTCCACTAGACGTCGATTGGATCTCCTTAGAAATCGTGTAGACATTTTTTTAACCCTTCCAAGTCTTTTCTACAACCATACCATACAATTGAAGTTAAAGCTTAAAAGCACAGATTTCTTTACATTCTTTC